GGGGGGGGGGGGGGGGGGGGGGGGGGGGGGGTACTCATAGTCGTGCATGCCGTAGTCGTTTGACCATTGACCTCGCATCCCTACAAAGCCGGGACGGAGCACGTAGGGTTCTCACCGGACCAGGCTCTCACATCACCAAGCGCGAAGCGCCGTGAGGTATTCGGCGAGTCGCATGAAGGGTGAGCTGCATCCTGCTAAGGGTGTTCGGCATCTTGTGCTTACTTCCTTGCGTACGGATGACAGCTGCGTATGACTTAATTTATTTTCTGGTGCTTTCACTTCCAGAGACAGTTGTAAGCACTGTGTAACTGCCTCGAGGATGCTTGACCATTTTAACACAACGTGGTGCGATCATCCCCCTTGCGCGGAGTGAGGGTTCTCGACCCCGCACAACATGATCTACTCGACCACCATTCATGGTTACCGCAAAAAAAAAACAGAGGTAAAAAAAAAGGTAACCTGGTTGCCGAGTTCACGAAGTGAATTGGCTTGTTTTACAACGTCGTTGCCAAGCGACGAAAACCCAACCCCGATGACAAACACCGGGGGGGGCGGCATGTTTTACAACGTCGTTGCCAAGCGACGAAAACCCAATCCCGATGGCAAACACCGGGGACGATGTGGGGGGGGTGGGGGGGGGGGTGATCAGGAGAGGCAGATCTTAGGCCCTCCGTTTGTCATATGCATACGCTTTGTCTTTGTCAAGCTCACGTTTGTGAACCGGGAGCAGAACGGTAACAGCCGCTACCGCTACTATAATACTGCTTTACCGCTGCTCTCATTTCGCTATTCACAGCTCCCGTTCGTTCGACGATGTCTGTTTGGCATCAAAGATTTAGGACCTGTAAGTAAAAAGAAAAAAAAAACGGCACCAAATTGTCTGGAAGAAGGCGCCCCATCACCGTGTCAGAAGAGGTTTCACAAACAATCAGAGAGGTAGCCTACAGTAGCCTACCTCGGAGTTGACGTCGTGAAGAAATTCCAAGTCGAGGGCGTACTTTTTGTCGTTGCTCGTGCCACTGATGTGGGAAAGGGGGGGGGGGAAGACGCGTGCGGGGGGAGGGGGGGGGGGGGGGTTCAAAAAAAAACGCCCACCGGGCAAAAGAAAACGCTGAAAATTAACAAAAGGGCCTATTTTTCCCCCAACCAGGGGGTAATGGGGGGGGGGGAGGGGGGGGGGGGAAAAAAAGGACCGGGAAACCAAATGGGGGAAAAAAAAAAAGACAAAAACCAAAAGAGTTGGAGAAAAATCCCGGCGGGGA